CAATGATCTATAGGTGGAATCTGATGTGGTTCGAGTGGTTCGCCAGATTGCTCAAAAGAAGGACCAGTACTACATCGACCAGAAACTGGTGCCACGAGCTGAGGTGCTAATGAGAAAATTTTGAAGTACTTACTCTATTTAGGTGGTCAATCTTATGGAATCGGCCGGCTTCTCGCGCTCCAACCCTTACTACATCGTGAAGCAAGGAAAAATCAATGAACTGGCTACGGCACCTGATCCGCATAGATTAAAACTTCTGAAGGAAGTGGCTGGTACTCGTGTTTACGATGAGCGCAAGGAAGAATCATTAAAGATCCTCAAAGAAACGGGTTCGTTTCCGCCGAGTTTTCCCTACGTCTGTTTAGGTGCAAAAACGAAGAAGATCGAAGACCTACTTTCATATATCGAGGATCGTCTAAAGACGCTTGAATCTGAGAAGGAGGATTTGAAAGAATACCAAAAATGGGATAAGCAAAAGCGCTCTATCGAATACACGATGTATGATGTCGAGATCAAGGAGGCGCGCAAGAAGCTCGACCAACTTTCTGAGCAACGCGAGGAGCTGAACCAGCGGCAGAATAAGGTGAGTTGGCGCGGCATTGCTTTGAAGGGTATGATTATCTTTAGGTGCAATCCGATTTGATGGAGGCGCAGGCTAGGGAAGCGAGGGCTTCCGCCGAACAGCGCAAGCTCGATTCCAAGTTCAAAGGCCAAAAAGAGGAAAAACAAGCGCTTGCCCAAGAACAAACTGCTCTTTACGAGAAACGAACCGCTCTCGAACTGAAGATCCGAGGTTCATTATTCGGTTCATTCATAATTCCTCTTTTCAGATCTGAAAGAAGATGTGGAGAAAGAGCGTTCCGGTCGCACTCGTGCCGAAGATGAGCTCGAGCGGTTGAAGGCTGACATCGCGGAAAAGCAAGAAGAGCTGGACGAGATCATCCCGGAATACGAGGCATGTCATATTACAATCATTACGAATGGCAGTTTTTACAGAAAATTCTCGAAACTGAGGAAGGATTGCGTTCGGATGTCCGTATCGCTGAAAATCGCTTGAACGATCTCCTGTTGAAACAAGGTCGACAATTTCTGTACAGTGGTTTATTTTATTGATTTAGGGCACAAGCAGCAATTCAAGACTGCTGAAGAACGAGACAACTTCTTGAAGAAAGAAATTAAATTTGTCAAGACACAGCTCGGCGATACCGAAGAACAGATTCAGACGATCGAGAGGAGCCTGGTGGAGGAGGCGGCTGACGAGCAACGGGTCAATGATGAAATTAGGGTGAGCCAGACAGTTTACTGGAAAGGCTAATGTTATCTTTCAGAATATTGGGCTCAGAGTCGAGGAAACGGCTACCGAACTCGAGCGCGCCAACAGCAACTATGCCCGTCTGCGCAAGGAACTTGACAGGGCCGTTCATGCGCAAATGTCGGTTCACTTCATCTTTGCAAAAATCCGAGATACTTTTGGCCCCTCTTTTTGCATGCACATTTTATTTACAGGGATGCGGGCAGAAAAGAACGTGAGCGTCGCGAAGAGTTTGACCAAGTTAAAACCGAAGTACAGCAGCTCGAGAACCAGCTACGCGGCTTGACGAACAAGGTTCGGTTGCGTTTCTTATCGACCTTCAATTTTTATAGCCGGCGCTGAATGGAATGGATAGCGTGAAGCGCGTGCTACAATGGTTCCGCGACAACAATCATAACGGCAAGAACGACGACGTTCTGAACGGATATTACGGTGAGCTGTTACGCTCATTTCCTACTTCGAATTCAGGCACATTGATCGACCTGGTGGACTGCGACCCGAACTACTACCAGGCGGTAGAAGTGACGGCGGCTTCGCGACTCTTCTACCATGTTGTCCAAGATGATCGGGTCGCTATGAAGATCCTCAACAGGGTTAACGCGATGGAACTCCCTGGTCAACTCGACTTCTTTCCACTGTCGCGACTCACCTGTCCACACAGGAGAAGCACCAACAATCCGGTTTGTTTTTGCTGTCTCGTATCTTGTAATTTTTTTTATTCGGTGTCTTCTTTTCTAATTTTCTGCTTGCAGGATGCCCGCCCAATGATCGATTGCTTCGAATATGACCCTCGCTTCGAGAACGTCTTCCGCCAAGTGTTTGCTGGAACAGGTATTTTCGTTTATTGGCCCAAATATGTTCATCTTTAGTGATTGTGCGAACCATTCAAGTCGGCCAACAAATGGCCAAACACGAGGGCTTTGATGCTGTCACGTTGGACGGTGACCAGGTGCGCAACCATCACGGCTCTAATGTAACGATCGTTGTTGCAGATTCACAAGCGTGGTGCGTTGACCGGAGGCTACATCGATCGTAAGAAGTCCAAGCTCGAAACCTTCAACGCCATCCGCGAGAAGAATCAAGGCTTGGAGGAGTTCTCGGTGAGTAAAATTCCTAAATTTCGATAATTGTCTCTAGGGTGAGCTTGAACGATTGGCGCGCGAAGCCGGACAGAAACAACAAGAAGTCGAAAGGATAAGACAAGAAATCGAGCGCATTGAGATGGAACTGCAGCGTCTGAAATCCCTGCATCGCGAGCTGAACGAGAAGCGCAAGTTCACCAGCGAACAACTCGTATCTGGTGCCCGCAACGTTGAACAAAAAGGTTTACCAAGCTCTAATTTTCCTACTGATTTTTAGAAAAATCAATTGATCCCATTGCGGAACCGCATTCGTGAGATGAAAGACAAGAAGGCGACGCTTGAGTCGGAGCTGGACCAGCCACTGGAAAGCCAGCTGTCGTCGAGTGATCAACGGCACATTGAAGAATTCCAGGCATGCGAGCCGCTTGATTTTAAAACGGATTTTAGAACAAATCGAAGTCCCTTCGGGTGAAACTGGAAGAAGTGACGAAGAACAGAAGTGACCTCGAATCTCGGAAAAGGAAGATTGAAAACTTGTTGGAGACTAATCTGATCCGTAGGCGTGAAAATCTCAGCTCGGTATAATAAATCATCTCGGGCGTTTATGGGATCTTTAGAAAGTCGGCGACATTTCCGTAGATGAAAAGCGACACAACCTGGAAAATGACAGCTCGGAATTGACCAGCGTCCTCACCCGGCTGAAGGTAATGTTGTTCCTGGTTTCGGTCATAGATTTCTTAGGAAATTATTCAACGGCTTGACGAACTCGAGCAAAAGCTTCGTGAATACGATGAGAAGTCTGAAAAGTTGACCCGCGAATTGGACGACGTGCACGAACAACAGAAGGATTTGGAGCAGCAACTGGAGGAGTTCTCGAAGCAGATCGAATCGATATTCACCAAGCAGAGCACACTCTACTCCAAGCGTGAAGAGAGCGTCAAGAAGGTGCGTTTCGATCAAAATACACTTTTTGATATTGTTTTTAGATTCGAGATCTCGGTTCGCTCCCTACAGAAGCATTCAGCAAGTACCAAAACCTCACTTCGAAGCAATTGGACAAAAAGCTCTCCGAGGCGTTGAACGAGTTGAAGAAGTACGAAAACGTCAACAAAAAGGTCATTTGTTTTACGAGATTGAACTTTTCTTTTAGGCTTTGGATCAATTCGTTCAAGCGTCGTCTCAGAAAGAGGATTTGACAAAGCGCATGGAGGAGCAACGCAAGAATGAGACGGCTATTGAGAATTTGTTGGTCGTGTTGGAGAATCGTAAATATGACGCGATCCACTTCACCTTTAAGCAGGTTTTTTTAATAGGCGGCGGGTTCATTGTTTTAGGTCGCCAAGAATTTCCGCGATGTGTTCGCCAAATTGGTTCCTGGCGGTCGTGGCGATCTAGTCATGCAGACGGCGGTAAGAATCTTCAGTTATCAGCATTTTTTGTAGGATAAAAGCCAGAATACGGAAGACAACAGCCAAGGTGACGATGAGGCGGAGAGTAGCCGCAAGAAGAAGGCTACGGTCGAGAATTTCACAGGGGTCGGCATTCGGGTAAGAGTTACCCGAAGCGGCAACGTCCTTGCTTTAGGTTGGATTCACAGCCGATGCGGAAACAAGGGAAATGCAACAGCTCTCTGGCGGTCAGAAAACTCTGGTCGCCCTTGCGATGATCTTCGCCATCCAAAAGGTAATTTTCCTCTTAAACAAGAACAAATATTTTTTTAGTGCGACCCTGCCCCGTTCTACCTCTTCGATGAGATCGACGCCGCCTTGGACCCGATGCATCGAAAAGCTGTGGCTGGTTAGTGTCCCTAGAGCGATCATTCTATTCTTTTCGCAGATATGATTCACGAACTCGCTGAAAATGCCCAATTCATCACCACCACTTTCCGACCAGAGCTTTTGGCATCAGCGGAGAAGTACTTCGGCGTCATTTTCCGCAACAAGGTAAGTGGTTGATCACCTTCTTGTTTGGTTCGGTATTTACTAGACATTAGCTAACCCGAATTTTTTTCAGGTCTCTCATATTGATTCGGTGGCCCGCGAGAAGGCGTACGATTTCGTCGAAGATGACCAAACACACGGATAGATTTACAATTTTCCAGTTTCACGCGCCCTCACGCAAGTAACACGCAGTCGAAATGTTGTACATGAGTTTTACGTTGCAGTTGTCCCACCGCTATCACAATTTTACAATTTGTTGTTACGCTTTCCCATTGTTCATCCTCATTGCTGATCTCATGCTTGATAAAGTATTATCCCGTAAATTCTGTCGAAGCTAAATTGCGGTCGCCACGCACCAGACAGACGTATCTGATTAAACCGACTTGCTTTTGTTTGCTGGGCTGAAATTCGAGGGATAGCATCCTGTTAGAACGAGGATGGTTCTGTCAAGAGTGGCGGCACGGGCTGGCCGGGCGCGGACCGTGTCGAGGCCACGCCCCTAAACGTTTTTCCATGCGTCTCCTTTTGCATTGAGCTGCTGGTTGTTGGGTTATATAGAAAATTCGTTCGCCGCCTCCCGCTTCAAGCGGCAAATCCAGAATCTGAGTTTAGGCTAAAATGATCCAAAAATCTACTTAATTATATGACTTTACTTTTTTTCCAGGGATGCTCAACGTACGTGGCCTGGCGATATATAGGACTGCAGTACGTTGCCTGCTTCGGCCACCACCAAACTCACCCTACCGCGGCATCTATCGGACTGAGGGGGAAGTATGCCGCCGCGATGAAATTCTCGTCTCGCAGGGTGCTCTGAACTACCACCCTGGCCTGAATGTTCATCTTGAAAAAGACCGTGTCGATCTTCTCTTGAAAGCCAGCTGTGACGGAGTCGTCAGGATCACCCGCGAAAAAATCACTCCGGACTTCACTAATCCTGATATGAAGGTCTACGAACACCGGCGTGATAACGACATCTACAAACTTCATTTTAACGTTATTCCGTTTGAGATGTCAAAAAATTTCACACTCAAGTCCGAGATTTAGCTGATAGATTTTCCTTTTGACCACTTTTTGTACAAAGCTCTGCGTTTATCTGATTATCATTATCTTTTTCGCTAGTTAGAAGATTTTAGTTTAGGAATATGGTCATATAACTGTTACTATTTGATTTGTTTTCGTTGTCTGATTTATTGGTTCTTGTTGAAATGTACTATAAAACGAATTTAAGGCATTTGGTGACTTCTACTCTTTGCTCTCTGTACAATGGGTACAGAACTAGAGGTATGACAGTGTTGATTTCCTAAATGGGTTTTCTAGTCGCTGAATACGCTGTGTCGCGACCTCTACGAAAGTGTGGATCAGGCAACACGACGACGCGCTGAGGAACGGTTCAATGATCTGGTAAATGGCGAAGGATGTCTGCAGCGATGTATGATGTTGTTCGAGGAGGGACCGGTAGCTTGAACCCATTTGAGAATACCACCTTCCAGGTACCATATGGCCCTATCGTTGCTGCAAAAGCTCTTACCAAGCTGTTATCGGTGAAGACTGGAATTATGCCGTCCGATCGCTTGAACATTTGTAATAAGTCTGCATGCTTTTTTATGATTCAATTTAGGCCATTACCTTCTGAGCTACTTGGGTACGCGTGCGCAACAAGTGCCGGCATTCGTCATCACCGAGCTTTGCCAGTTTTTTGCTCGCCTTACAAAGCTGGAGTGGGGCTACTTCGTCACCGATACGGAGGAGTATCCGTTCCGCACGCCGATCTCCAGCATCATCAAGTCCATCTCAGTGGTATGCCGCCCTGTGAATAACGATATTTTTATAGCAAAACATCGGAGAGAGTCTGCTAGCGATCGAGCTCCTTTCGCTGCTCGTCATCGACATGAATTCGGTAACGCGCATTTCTTCTTTTGGATGCCATTTTTAGCCGATCGGCAGCGAATCGGTCTCCACGCACCGAAAGACAGCAGCACTTTTTCGAGACGACTATCTCTATAACATCTTCAAAATGTGCTTGGAGCTGCTGAAGGAACTGCAGGGCAAGCAGTTGAATGAACAGGAGGTATCAACGCAGGTCGGCATGTATAGTTTTCCTAGCTACGTCTGGCCAATGCGGTCCTGGATCTGATGCTGAACTGCTGCTCCTATGATTTTATCGGAAGCCTGGCAGATGAGACTAGCGAGGACAATTTTAGCATGCAAGTGCCGACGGCTTGGCGCGACTGTTAGTTCTAATGAATCTCTCATTGGCTTGCTTTAGCTTTTATCGATGGTACTATCGTGAAGTTGATGGTCAAACTCTACATGGAAATGCCATCGGATTCCGCTGAAAAGGTTTTACTTCAGAAAAGCGCTGATGTTTTTAGATTGTCCACATCATCGTCCAACTCGCCTCGATTCGTCGCACGATTTTCAATGGCAACGAGAGACAGACTTATCTACGCGAGTTGGTAGTGGCCATCAAGGAAATTATTGAGAACTCTGCGAAACTGAACCAGGTTTGTCCGCTTTTGCATTATGAATATAGTTCTTAGGGAGCCTTCCACGAATTTTGCCGTCTTGTTTCACGTCTGAAGACAAATTTTCAACTTTGCGAAATGCTGAAGTTTGACGAGTACGAGTCCATGCTGCGCTTGCTGGTCGAGTTCACAATTGCGAGTCTCAAGGTGCGTGCGTGTTGCAATGATGACTAATACGGCTTTTTAGATGACGGATCTCTCGAACAGTACGTATTTTCTGCTCCACTTCTGGTTCCGTATGGTTACATCGGTGCCATACGTCAGGACACAGGTTTGCGATTATTCCTTGCCTTGATGACAACCTGCAATAGGACAATCACTACATAAACATCTACTGCCCGGAGATATTCAAGGTGTACGTCGAGACACGGTTGGAGAATGTGGCAAACGTCCTTCGGTATGTAAATATTTTACATGACCGTCTCGATCAGCCCTCGTGCCCTTCTAGTCAGTTTTTTAGCGATCCTAATCTGGACGATCCGCTTGACGATCAGGGCGCCATTTTGCAGACTATGGAGCAACTGGCCGTCATTTGCAGGTGTATAAATTCACATTTATTTCAACGCCTTTTTAGGTGTGATTACAAAAAGACCGGAGAATTGTTGATGCGCCACTTTGACGAAAATGTCGAGGTTGCGCTTCGTGGCCCGGCACAGGTCAGTGTGCTTGGCCTGTAGCTTTGACTTCTCTTCAGGACCCTAACGTCTTGATCGCCGAAGGACGCTTGGCTTGGCTGCTGACCCTGATGGGCACGGCAATCTTTGGCAAATCGACAGTCCAGAATACCGATGAGTTCGACGAATTGGACGGAAAGCTGTTGCTCCGGTATGCACTTCTTTTCTTTGAAATATGATTGGTATAGAGCTATCCGCTACATGCAATGGAACGACGAACGCCTCGTTTGTCCGACAAACCCGAATCTCAGCCCGGGAAATGGAAATATTCGCCTTGAGGTAAATTTTCTGACTTTTTGACGACTCACCAATTTAGGTCTCATTCATATACGTGCTGGAGCAATTCCGTCGAGCCTATGTGATGGATCAAATTCCGCGTGTATCCTATGTATATAATCCGCTCGGCGAGATTGGCATCAATGAGGAAACGGATATGCTGAATGTCATCGCCCGCAAGATGTGAGTCTCGACATTCGCTTCGAAACATTTGTTTTAGCATTACGAACGTAAAAATGTGGCCTACCAATGCCCAGCTTCTCGATTTGTCACTGTCACTCCTGAAAGGTTTTTTATATTTTTTAGGTTATTCATTCCGATTTTTTTAGATCTCTCACTAGGATACTCTGCTGTACGCAAGCTATTTAGCCTTCCCGACATCCAGCTGCTTCTGAATAACCACACGGTATGAAACACTGAGAATATTTCAACTCGATTTAGGCAGAGCATTTTGCCTTCCTCGGCTCAGGGATTGACTATGCGACGATGAAGGAACGGACGACATTCTATGAGGCGTTGACCCGATTGCTTACTTCAGATATGAACGACGATGAAGTCATCTTCTTGAATTACCTTCAGCCATTGACAGGTGAGTGTTTTTCGGACATCTCGGTTTTTCCTGTCTTCCACAACGTTCCTTACATTTTCAGAGACGGCGCGAAATCTATGCGAGGTGATGAAGACGGGCAACATCCAGGTGAATGAGGATGAAGTCAAGGTTTGCCCTTCGAAGTGCGTTTTAGCTATCCTTTCTTCAGAAAGCCCTGGTCGGTCTGTGCCGCGATATTCGAGGCGTTTGTTTGGCTTGTACAACGAAGCCTCTCTTCCAGATGCTCGTCGAGTGGATGTGAGTTGTCCAAATCTAGAATCTACGATTTTTTAGGCTACCTGACGTGTTCAACATTCTCCAGTTTGCCATTAACGGATGGTACAATATTCCCGAGGTAGTTCATGTGATAATTGCAAAGCCAACTTACTTAGGTGACGTCGCCAATCTTCCACCTGCTCTCGGAACTCTGCCATAACAGGCAGCAACGTCTGAAGTTCGAGATGAGCTCCTGCGTGACCGTTCTGCTGTTCCGCGAAATCTCGCGCGTCATTTGCAGCTGGGGCGATCGGGTTCTCAACGCCGGCGCCATCGCCAAGGACCGGCTATACAAGGAGCGCTACAAGAACATTGGCCTCATCTTTCACATTTTGAAGGTTTGTGTTTTCGAGATTCTAGTCAATATCTACGTTTCAGCAAGCCCTTGCTGGAGGCTATGTCCCCTACGGTCTTTTATGCCTCTACGGTGATCGGTGTCTGCTGGACGCGCTCGACATGTTTGTCAAGCTGTTCCAGACGATCCCCGAGGAAGAGTTCCATGTCGGTCCACCTCAACTTTCTAATCCCACTTTTAGAATTACACGAAGATCACACAAAACTATTATGGCCTGCTGGAGATGATGATTCAGGACAATATGTCTTACATCAGCAACCTTGACCCTCAAGTGTTTTCTTCTATTCTTCGCAGCATCATCAGCGGTATTCTGTCGACAGGTTTGTAGCTTCAGCTGGAGGCAATTTCATTATTGATTTGTAGATGCTGTTGTCATCACTGCGGCCTGCTCGGCTCTAGACAACATATTGGGGTGCATCATGAAACAGCTGAAAACGCCGACATTGAACAAGGTTGTTCAAGATTTGAGGCATATATGGCGTCTTTCTTAGATTACTATGGAAGCCGAGGGACAGAGTTGCATTCGGGCGATCGAGGCTAATCCGCATTTATTGGCTGATGTAAGTATAGTGGCTTCTAGAAATATATATTTTTAGCTGCTCAACCAAGTAATTCAAATGTTCATCTACGGCGAGGTGAAGTGCCAGTGGTCGATGAGCCGCCCGTTGTTGGGATTGATCCTGCTCCAGGTGATCACTGTTGGATTTTAAATTTATTTTGCATTTTTAGGAGCAAGCCTTCAACGAGATCAAAACAGACGTCCTTACGCATTTCCCCTCATCGCGCCGTCCCTCAATGGAAAAGACCTTCTTCACGCTGATGGATGGTGTCGAGGCTGATCTAACCACCAAGAACAAGGACACTTTCACCCAGAACCTGGCAAAGTACGTTGTCCCTTGTTTTCGTTGACGTTATCTACTCTAGGTTCCGCAAAGAAGTGTCCGAGGTGGCCAAGGGCAAGGACCTCTCTCCCGCCGCGTCGAACACAAACATGGCTTTCTGAACTACTAACGGTTCTTCCGCTGATGATTAGGCATTGGTTAGCTTGCCTCTAGTCTGATTCGGGCCTCTTGCCCCGCGGCACCTTTCTATCCCCACCCTACTGATTTGATTTTCCGTCCCGGGTACTTCGGCCGATGCCGTTTCCATTCTCACGTTTTGTTTTGCTTTAAGTAACGAGTTGTTCTTGCCGTTTCAAGTTGTAGATAAATCCCTGGTCATGCTTTTGCCCCCATCCCGGTTTTCGCTCCCCTGTGCCCGCTTCACAATTTCCCCATTCTCTAAAAGAGCCTCTTACAAATACGGATATCCTACGCGCGTCTGAACTTTGGCTACTACTTCCCCCTGTGGATGTGACGGGATCACGTATTGGCGCAGGCCTTCTTGAAAATGGCGTTGCATCTTCGCCAATTCTTAACCCTTGCGATAAATCTTAATTTGCGATGGAAGCACCAAAAAAAACAGCACTTGGATGCCCGTGGTTTGAGCACCAACAGAACTTTTGTGTTTTCATATATGGGAAAATGTTCTGTGGAGTACGGGTCTTCGAAAATCGCGTTAAAATCGTTGGCGGCCCAGTTCCGGGCCTGATGGATATGCTTTGCGGGCCTTGTGTTTGTTGACTTTAGCCCTCAAAACCCAGGTTTGCGGAGTTACAGGGATCAGGGTAGAGGATTCGGTACTGGACTGTTATCAGGGGGAACTAGCGTTGCCCAGTAATCTTGTACGGTCCTATTACAAAATATAAACCATTATTATGGAATTTTACAGGTTTTTTGTGTATAAAAAGCTCATAGAGAAACTCAAAAACATTTCGAAAAAATTGTGACTGTCATCAAAAATGTTCAAAAAAGACTCTAAAAGTATTTTTTGTAAGTTTTCGGCAACCCAAAACCACTAAAACATGTAAAAATACACTCTTTAATGAATAGACAGGTATCGGTGGCAGGTACCCACCCCCTAACAGTCCGGTACCGATTCATGAATGCGTATTTTTGTAGAGCCTTTCAAGATGAAGAAGAATAACAACAACCGGTAGGCTCTAGCCAGAATTCGGCGGAGGAACGGTTGTCCCCGGTGGGCCAGACACAATTTCTATGCCGACCTGTGCCTCTCATCCGGGCTGCTCTATCGCGTCGCCTCTAATACGACTGCGCCTAGTTCAAGGCTGACCTTCTTATCGCATAGACGGGCACCAGTTTGTTGTACCTTATGCCTTGTGCCTATGGTGGATGTTTTTTTCTGGATGGACGTCCACGACAATTTGCGCGATGTCTTTGGCACGGCGAGAATTCTGATTAGCGGCTCTCGCTTCCCCCGTTGTTGACCACCAATCACCATATCTTCGTCTATGCAATTTCTTCCATTTACGAATCCCCAAAATTATTTTATTTCAGAAATGTCCGCCCTGGTGGACACTTTCGGGGTACTCGGCAGCTGCATGGGCTGCATGGTGGCAGTAGAAGGAATCGCCAAGTGAGCAACGATTACCACATTATACTTCCCAATTTTTAGAGAAGAACCCAGCGCCATGAACTTGATGACGTTCGCCAACTTTTTCTTCATCTCCCTCGTTGGCCTCGTCACGACCAAGAAATTTTTCACCGTTAGGAATCAAATCCCGCTGAGGTATTGTTGTCATTAAATCCCGAATCACCCGTCGCGCAGTGGATATTTTTGGGTTGTTGCCACGTTCTTCGTTGTCAACGTCGTCAACAATCAAGCGTTAAACTACCATGTGCCCGTCCCGCTTCATATTATTTTCCGTTCGGTTAGTCGATGCTTGCCCCCGGAATTGCTGATTTGATAGGGTTCCCTGCTGGCTAGTTTGCTGTTGGAGGTGGTGTGGAGAAAGAAGCGATACGCGACGCGAAAGTATTTGTCGGTTTTCGCCATCACCATCGGAATCATCGTTTGCACATTGGCGACCAGTTCGAAAGGCGTGAGTATTTTTGCTGCTTTGTTATGAGCGTATTATTTGCCATTAATTTGTCCTTTTGGTATTATTTATTTACTTTTGAGTGGGTTCTTTGACATTATCGGGGGCACAACTTTTTCGTGGGGTAGAATATGCCACATATAAAAACTTAAGGGTTTCAAACCGGTTTTACTATGCCTCAACATGAGAATTTACTTTAACTTCAAACATTTTTAAAAAAATATCACAAAACTCGATTTTTCAACCAAAATGGCGCCGTTTTCACGACTTCTTTAGGGTTTTTAGAGAGTTTTTCTATTTGAAATATAGTTAATTTTACTAAAAACTCTACTAAAATTTTACCAGACATTTTACCCCCCCGATAAGGCGAAAGAGCCTAGAAGTGATAATTCTTTTCTTAGTTTTCCCACATTTAATCCATTTTTAGTCTGAAGGTCTGTCGTCCGAGCAAATCGCCAAGCACTATGTGGAGTGGTCGATCGGCATTGGGATGCTGGTATTTGCCCTATTCGCGTCTGCCTTCCTTGCCATTAAACAACAACAAATGTACGGAATCTACGGGAAGCACGTGGACGAGGCCATGTTCGTAACGGTATTGAAAAGCCTATCTTCCGAACAAACGATTTTCCAGCACTTCTACTCGCTGCCCTTCTTCGCATTCATGTGGTCCGACATCCTAAAAGCAGTCGACATCTTCAACGGAAGCGCTCCGTTTTCGGCGGCTGGGATTCAACTTCCGTTCCCAAAGCTATGGGTGATGCTCGCCATCACGTGTCTCTTACAGTGAGATTGAGCTTCTTCTTTTTTTATTGAATTAATTTAGGTATCTATGCATTCGCTATGTATACAAATTGAATGCCAGCGTAGAAGCGCTTACCGTGACGCTGGTGGTCACGCTCAGGAAATTTTTGTCATTGATTGTGTCGATCATTGTTTATCAGGTATCCCCTTTCCAAAGCGCCTATATGACTTTAGAATCCATTTACCACGATGCATTGGGTCGGCACGGCGCTGGTTTTTGGCGGCACAATGTTCTTCGATGATGCCATTTTCAAGAAGTCGGCTGATGAGGGCCAGAAAAAGAAGAAGCAATAAGCAGAAAATCCCGTATCCTTTCCATTGTAGATTATCATTTGTCATTTTTTCATGTTCTACTTAAAAGTGTATTGCAATTCCATAAAGAATTTAATAGGCCGGTTACTGTCATATGCGCAGAAGCAGTCCGTTCTTATTGACAGGCTAAATATTTGAAACTACTTGAAAGGGTATTTAATCCCATGATAAAGTATGAAATCTTACCTCTGGCGTTTCCGCAGTTTGCTTCTGGACAACTTTCATCCGGTACGCTTCGGTACTAGCAACGTGCCGATCATGTCCCTCCTTCGGGCCCTGCAGTCCGCGATTTTTTTGATTTACCACACGAAAAAGTTTACATCATTTCCATAAAGTTGATGATGTAACTTGAAGAAAGATTGCACAAGCTGACTGTCCTTTTCTGTCTATAAGCTTTGGCTAGCTGCGAACCCTGTTTCTATTTTTTTTTTTTTTTTGCGCCGTCCACTTCATTTCGAGGCCTACCCTCTGTAATTTTGCAAAAGAATCGAGTTTCCAGGGCTTGGAAGATGCCTGGCGAGGAGAAGAAGCCCAAAACTGAGAAGGAACTGAAGAAAGAGGCTGAGAAGGCAGCCAAACTTGCAAAGTTCCAGGTGAAACCACTGATTCCGATATCAAAATGATATTTTTAGCAAAAGCAGCAGAAGAAGGCTGATGATGCTGCTACGGCCAAGCCTAAGGAAGCCAAGCCCGAGAAGGAGAAGAAAGCCAAGGAGGTCTTGGCGTATCAGGGCACCACGAAGCCAGGCGAAAAGAAAGGTGTTTTTGTTTGCATTAATCAGCGAAGGTTATAGATGTATCTGGCGAAATGCCCTCTGCCTACTCTCCAAGCTATGTCGAAGCGGCATGGTACGAGTGGTGGGAGAAAGAAGTAAGGCTTGTTCGTTTTTACAATAGTTGTGATCTAGGGGTTCTTCCGTCCGGAATACGGTGGTCGTGACTTGACTAAGGAAAACCCAAAGGGAAATTTCACGATCTGCATCCCGCCACCAAACGTGACTGGCACGCTGCACGTTGGACATGCATTGGCCACTTCGGTTGAGGACACCATGACACGATGGTGGGCAAAATACTGATTTGGTCATCAACGTTTTCAGGAATCGCATGAAGGGCAGGACGACCCTATTCAACCCTGGCTGCGATCATGCCGGGATTGCCACCCAAGTGGTCGTTGAAAAACGCCTGCAGCGGGAACGCGGCTTGTCCCGTCACGATCTCGGCCGTGAGAAATTTATCGAGGAGGTCTGGCGTTGGAAGAACGAGTGCGTTTGAGGCTATCTTCCTGTAAATTGTCTGATTTCAGAAAAGGCCATGTCATCTACAATCAGCTACGAAAAATGGGCGCTTCGGTGGATTGGGACCGCGCGGTCTTCATGATGGACCCGGTATGGTCTCTTGCGCAATGCGTAACTATCATTGTAGAAAGTGATGCGCGCCGTGACCGAGGCCTTCATCAAGATGCATGAAAATGGCACAATCTATCGCTCGACCCGACTTGTGAACTGGAGTTGCACTCTGCTATCGGCCATTTCGGATATTGAGGTAGGAATGGATGCGTTGATATTTATATTAGCTTATCCAGGTCGACAAGAAGGAACTGCCGGGGCGTACGCTTCTCCCGGTCCCTGGTTACGATGAGAAAGTTGAATTTGGGATCATCGTTTCCTTTGCCTATAAGGTGAAGGGCTCAGGTATGGCTGGTTCGACTTACTTTGACATATTTCTTTAGATGCCGAATTGGTGGTTGCCACCACTCGTCCGGAGACTATGCTCGGAGACACTGCCATCGCTGTACACCCCGAGGACGAACGTTATCGAGGCCTTGTCGGCAAGGTGATTAATTCACAAAACTAGAGCCCTCTCACGATTCGCTGGCTGAAGTAAATATTCAATCAATCATTTAGACGGCTATCCACCCCTTTGTCAATCGGGAGCTTCCGATTGTGGCTGACGACTTTGTGGATCGCGAATTCGGGACCGGTGCGGTCAAGATTACACCGGCTCATGACCCCAACGATTACGAGGTGCTTGATCCGGGCTTAAAACATAAATGTGCTTAGGTTGGATTGCGCCACAACTTGCCCTTCGTCACGTGCATTACGGATGACGGCCTGATGACCAAGGTGAGCCTTTCCCAAAATAGTTTACCATCTTGCTCAGGATTGTGGCGAGTTCGCCGGCATGAAGCGCTTCGAATGTCGTAAGGCCGTCTTGGAAGCATTGGAAAAGAAGGGACTCTATCGCGAGAAGAAAGACAACCCCATGGTTGTTCCCGTGTGCAGGTAGATATTTTGGGTGGCGTTGGGAGAAATTTTGTGCAGTCGCTCCAAGGACATCATTGAGCCGATCTTGAAGCCGCAATGGTATGTGAAGTGCGATGGAATGGCGCAAAAAGCGCTGCATGCGGTCGAGACGGTAATCCTTTTGTCGAATGGCACGGAGCGAGGATCTTTAGGGGGAGTTGAAGATTGTGCCCGACACTCATATCGCTACGTGGAAGCGCTGGCTTGAGAGCAGCCGAGATTGGTGTATTTCGCGGCAACTTTGGTGGGGGCACCGCATTCCAGCATACTTTGTCTCGATTACGGTACGTCGTGTTAAGTTATTTTAGGCGTCGTAGACTTGTGGACATATGGAATCCTGGTACGCAAAATTTTTTAGGACGGGAAAACGCCCGAAGGTGATCCAGCCGACAATCACTACTGGGTGTCGGCCCACACCGAGGATGAAGCCCGTCAGAAGGCCGCCAAGCGCTTCAATGTTGACGAAAAGCACATTGGGTTGCGCTGGGGTATCATCATCCTTTTTTGAATCGTACATACCTTCTCAGACGAAGACGTTTTGGATACGTGGTTCTCTTCCGGCATGTGGCCGTTCTCAATCTTCGGCTGGCCAGAAAATACCGGTATCGCTTGCGCTACTGGTGATGATTATGCATTTTTAGGTGATCTAAATGCCTTCTTCCCGGGCGCTGTTCTGGAGACCGGCCACGACATCCTCTTCTTCTGGGTGGCTCGTATGGTTTTTATGTCGCAGGAACTGACCGGGAAGCTGCCATTCAAGGAGGTGACCAATTCATGTTGGATTCAACTTTGCTCCAGGTCTATCTTCACGCAATGATTCGCGACGCTCATGGGCGAAAGATGAGCAAGTCGTTGGGGAACGTCATCGATCCATTGGACGTCATCAAAGGCGTAGGCTTTGCGCAGTTTCCATAATCTATTCTGTCATTCCAGGTGACCCTGGAGGAATTGCACAAGCAGTTGGAAGGCGGAAATCTCGATCAAAAGGAATTGGTGACTGCAAAGGCCGGACAGGCTCGCGACTATCCACAGGTATTGAGAATTTACATACTTGAATAGTAGTTTAGGGCATCCCCGAGTGCGGCACGGACGCCTTGCGATTCGCTTTGATGGCATATACAAGCCAAGGCCGAGACATCAACCTGGATGTGCTCCGTGTCCAAGGGTATCGCTTCTTTGCCAACAAGGTTTGCTGCGTTTCCATCCACTTATATAAGAAGCTCTAGATCTGGCAGGCCACAAAGTTCACCCTGATGCAACTCGGCCAGGAGTTCCGACCCGAGTCGAAATTTGAGGTACGCCTCTCGCTTGGGTTGTAATATGTTTGGTTTTTAGATTTCCGGGGACGAGTCCGATATGGACAAGTGGATCCTGTCGCGCTGCGCTAGCGCCGTGGAGCTCTGTGAGGGTGGCATGGCGACGAAGAACTTTACCCAGGTTCATTTTCAAATCGTTGACTATTGTAGATTTTTTTTATAGGTGACCACCGCTGTCTACAATTTCTGGCTCTACGATTTCTGTGACGTATACCTGGAATCAGTGAAGCCGGTCATTTTCAACGGTATTTTTTGCAATATAGTCGTTAAACGGTGTCATAGGATCCGAAGGAGCCGCTGCGGCCGCGCGCCGTGTTCTCTACCACTGTGCGGAGACTGGCCTTCGACTAATCTCACCGTTGATGCCGTTTATCAGCGAGGAACTGTGGCAGCGACTCCCCAAGCGTGGCACCGAGGCCGCATCCATCGTCGTTGCTGATTACCCGGAGCCAGAACAGGTATTTACGCAGATTGAATCAATGGATTTTCCCCCAGTACCCCTATGTCGATAAGTCGCTGGAGACTCGCGTAGCTTTCGCCATGGATATCGTCCGTCAGGTCCGATCACTGCGTTCTGATTATGAATTGACGAACAAGGTCAAGACCGAGCGTGAGTTGATGGATTTTCTGAAAATGTTCTCTGGTTCGTTTAGTCTTTGTCTCCTTCCTGGCGCAAGCCGACGCGCAATCCCTGCAAGGACTCGATGCTCTGATCGCCACATTGACCTCATCATCAAAGGTTATTGAAGCTTGGACTATATGAAACCACTTTATCCAGGTCTCGCTCTTCACAAAAGAGCAATCAGCGCAAATTCCTACGAAGGGCTGCTCTCACGTGACGCTCTCCTCCACGAACGCCCAGTCGACTTCCAATATCTACATTTTGCTTGAGGTAGCCTTGGCGGTGTTGCCGGCATACGATTTATAGGGAATCATTGATATCGACAAGGAGCGCGCTAAGCTCGGAGGCAAGAAGGAAAAGTTGGATGTGCAGGTGATTTTTTTCAGCTTATTTCCATATTTTTTTAGATAAAAAAGCTGTTGGAGTTGGAATCAAAGCCGGACTATGAGAGCAAGGTCCCACTCGGAGTTCGCACGAATAATCAAGAAAAGGTGACGTGTGGAGTTTGTTTTGTATTATCCATGTTTAGAAGGAGACGCTCGAAAAGGAAGTTCGCTCCCTGGAAAGTGCAATCGCGGCCCTTGCAATCTGAAGCATGAATTTTAGGGAACTGTTGTTTTAGTCACCATTGTTGTGCCTTATTTTTTTCCGGACGTGGTTGACAAATTGTTTTTCCCGAATAAATAATTTATATTCTGTGCATGGAGCGCATATCATACCGATACTAGGCCCATGGTCCTGCGGTTTCGGTTTACTCTTCGCCGTGTCAACCCAATGTTTTTGGAAAGTTTATCGGTTCTGGCGAAACGCCAATAAAACATCAACAATAAAAATCTGAGCTAACAAGTAGAAGAAAGTAAAAGCAACAAGGAAACGTAACGAGCATTTCCACCAAAATCGTTGCAACGGAAGACGAAAGGTGATGCCAAGGAAAAATTACACGGTAGCCTGCCCGCGGGGACAAAATGGGTCTAAGGCGACGAGGTAGCGTGTGGTGGCGTTATTGTGGCTTCTTGGGTGGAGGACCGATTGGGCCAAAGGCGGCGCTTGGTACGATGTTCTAAAACAACAAAATTAATCGATTTCATATGACTGGAAATTCCACTAGCAAGAAAAGGACCCTTACTCTGTTCTCGTCCTGCTGCACCTCAGGGGTTGGCGTAGGTAGTGGTGATAGCACGCGCGGATATCCGGGCCCAAGCGGCTGCGTCCATTGGCTCGTCAGTGGCACACGCGGATAGCCGGGCCCAGGGGGCTGCATCCATTCGCCTGGCAGCGGGGAGGAATCTGGTGAGGGAGTGTAGGCTTGTTGAAGTCCGGCGGTCAGCTTCTGAGCTTGGATCGATTTGCGGGTTGTATCGATAGAATTGTCTAAAAGCAATTTTAGACAAAGAAATGCCAAATAAATACCGTTCACTAAATGAAGTGGTGGGCGGAAAGTGGCCGGGCGGCGGGGAAGATCTTGCGGCTCAAGTGATGCGCACTGGAATTGCGAAAGGAAGTTTTGTAACGCGCAGACGGACTTACCATGTCCAGGGATACGGTGCTTGTCTCAGCCTTGACAAGTAACTGCTCTCCTTCATGCTTGAGCTTGGCCAGCGCCTGTTCGAGCCGCTCCACATAGGCTCGCCAATCACTCACCGATCTAAGCTGGCATAGAAGCAAGCCCAACAATGACTCTCACTTGTCCAAATAAGGCTTCCAATCGAGTCCACGGAAATCGCTGTCGCGCACCGTGCGCTCGTATTCCAGAAGACGGACAAGCTATAACAAATAATAGAAAAGGGACGGTATATCAGTACCTCCTCCGTGGCCGCCGCACAGCGATTTTCCTGGAGTGAAACCATGGATTCAAGCTGAACTTTCAGGGACGATAACTAAGAGGAGAGTCACGCCCGGATAACTGATCCTCACCTGCGCACGTTGAACCCGTGGACCGACTTGCTTTAGTGCCGCTAACGTCTCCGCCAATGCGTCATTGTTCCGGGCGCACTTTTGTTGCATCTCACGCGTTTTCTGCTGGGCGTTTTGATGTTTCTTCGCAAGAGCCGTCAGTTTCTTGTGCGAATCGACCGCGAGACTAAAATTACGATGAGCAAGATTAATATACTGAATGTAAAAATTGGCGCGAAACGTAAATAAAATAACCTGGCGCTTTGTTTCTCTAATTCTTCGATGGCAGCTTTAGCTTCGTCCAGTTTGGAAGTGCGGAAGTTGTGCTCGGCCTTGATCGTTTTTAGCTCTTCGCTGTGTTTCTTCCTCGCTTGCTCGAGGTCCTTCATAAGGCTTTTGACTCTGAAAATAGTAAAATTGACTATATCAAATTGGCAACTGACTTCTGAGTGCTGTCAAAGAGTAGATCGAGATAACGATGGATTTCGGCCTCCTCATCGGCAATGAGTTTCGCTAGTCTGCACCCATGACGGTTCTTCTCGCGAATATTTTCGATTACTTCATTGAAACGAAAGCGCAGCTTGTCCAGTTTGGACTAAATTACAGCGGCTAAATCGGGAAACGTCCGAGATACCTTTTCTTCTTCCAATCGTTTCTTTGCCGCCAGATACGCCTCCAAGGCCTCCTCGACATCGTTGTAGGTGCAAGCCGGGTTATCATAGGCTGCGGTGTTACTAAAAGAAAAAAATGAATCTATTAACTCAACGTGCCTTTCCACGTCAGCGCCGCCGAACAGGCTGATGACCTCACTGATGAGCAAGTTGGTGACCACTAAAGCATCAGCGATTCCTTCTTCGACCTGAAAAAGGCAAGATTCGTCAGAAAATTCAGGAGCAACCTCCATACAGCCCCTTAGAGACGTTTCCGCCGGTGACGGCCGCCCAGCTTCATTAGCTGCCTGGTCAGAGCGGCTAAAAAGACTTTGTCTTGAAGAAAGGCCCGCTTACGTCTCAATGGCCGGCTTCAGTTTTTGTCTCTCGGATAGCCCGCGTTGAAACGCATCACTTAAAAAGGTTCGGGGAAATGACCACGGTGGGTACCTGCTGTACAAGTAGCCAAAGGTCTGTCGCATCGGCGACTCAAGGTAGAACTCTTCGATTTGCGAAAGCAAGTCCACTAGTTGACACTGGATTTCTTGAAGGACATCAGGGGCTTCGAGGGTCTCCTATAAAAGGTGTTGAATCCGCATGCGTCTGACCTCATCCTCGTAGGAGCATTCGGACATCGTAATCAATGCCTCCTCCCGGTCGTCGCCAAGGCTTTCGGCACCATCGAGGCTCTGAAGCAAAACAAATGCTGAGAGAACAATTTGAAATACCTGGCAACAGTCGCATCCGGGCGTCTGGGGCGTTTTTTCTTCGTGTTTTTGCGCTTTTGAGTGCGTGGCTGGCTCATCCCTTTCTCGCAGAGCCCCCTAGAAAACCTGTAGACAATAGTGCAAAGAAACCCCCACCAATTGCGTTGCCGAAATAGTAGCAGTCGTATCACCGGTGATCTTGATCGCCAATTTGGGAATCGGTGGCGGCCCTGTTGGAGTCGCCGGTAGAGTTTCCTAAAATAGCCATCTTCCCCGGAAAGCTGTTTCCCAACCTGGCGTGTTGTGGCGCTAGGCGGTTTTTCGGTCTGCCCCGGCTTCTTATGTCGCAGAGCATTTCTCTTCAATTGGGCATTAGCAGTGGCCTTTTTGTGACAGCAGGGCTCCAGGCAGCGGGGCGTGCCAATTGCCGCCCGAACGGCTGCACGGTCCGACTTCCCGCCTGTAACGCTAGTCTCTAGAAGCAGAATAGGAATCGCAATACAAAGCTTACGCTGGATGCGCTCGATGCCCTGTTCGAGGCTTAATTGTATGATCTGCTTCTGCTGCAACTCTAGACGACCCTGCATTTCTGGGTCGCGGCCCTAAATAAAAAGGTTTAACAGTAGCCTTTACACACACCTTATTCCAAGCGATTCCTTGATCGTTTGCCTGGCTTGCCAAATCATACCGCTCATTGGCGATGTGCGTTTGAGCAATTTGAAACCACTTTTCCAGTTCCGCCACGAACATTTCTCGTGTTTTCTCGCTACGCACGGGCCTGGCGCGAATATCGGCGGTGATTTTTAGCTTGCCGTCAATGATGAAGTCTTCTTGCTCGTCGCGTAGGATCTATAAACAAAAGGATGTTATAGGTAAATCCGTGTTACTGCGAGCTTGAGGTAGGTGCTATAGCCCCATTCGCGTTCGGTGCGTGTGTAGGCGTGTGTGTTACGGCGGATGAGGGGCCGCTTCTTGTTACAGATGGTGATAGCAACACTGGCTGTGCACGCCCAATCGCTGAAAATAAAAGTAAAAATAGAGCCGTTGAATGCAGCGAAAATAAATAGAGTAAAACAAACTCGTCATAAACCGCTTCCGGGGTGCAGCGTACATATACGCCTAGCCAGGGTTCCGTTTTTCCGTCGGTAGTTACGGGCTTGGGTACGGACAGTAAATGCCTAAGAACAGAATCACCAATTTACGGGAAGGGCGCCCACCACGTGACGTTGTGAATAGTTATGGGATCCGAGCACACCGTTGCTTTCAAAAGCAACGGGTTGTCGATCACGAGCTCGACGTGTCCCTCTAGCTCCTTTTCGTCAGGGCCACCGGCTTCAGTCTGCGTTGAGAGCGCACTTGTCGAAGGCGGATTGACTTTCGGCGCATTCGTAGCCATGGCGGCTAAAAAACTGTTAGTAAAATGGGAGCAAAAAGAATAGATCGAACAAAAGGAGGTGGCAAAATTTTGGCAAATTTGAGAAAACCTGGGGAGTTGTTCTTTTCCAAGCGAGGGCGGGGGGGGGGGATTTGCTTCGGGAGAACCTGAATATTTTCGCTATTTTATCGGGATTTTTGCAACGCCATTGGTTAGACCATCAAAAAGTTTATTACGAGTGAAATTTCATCTCAAAACAGTCTAATATAAAATAATTATATAAAAAAAAAGTAGCCCGTAGCAAAAAAAAGAATATAGATTCGGCATTTTCGACAATTTGACAAAATTTCTTGCGCGATGCAAGAGAAAACCATAGTCTGAAAAAAACCCTGAAACCGGAATCTATCAAAATTTGAAAAAAACCGAAATCGTGAAAATTACGAGGATGCCACATTTCTTTACGGATTTGCAGAATCCGGAATTTGCAGTCGGGTGGAATTGTAGCCTTTCGAAGGATGCAAGCAATGTTTCGCTTTAGCAAAATACATTTATTCAATCAGGTCCAGTTAGTATAAAGATTCGTTTCTATCGAGTCGCTGGCTGCTTCTTTCTTGAGTGCTTGATGGCAGCTAGTCAGCAGACATCAACACAGTCCATCGGAGCATATGCGCGGAGGCATATACCGAGAACGACGCCTGAAAATGATAACAACGTTCACTCCTGACACCGACTCACCCAATCCGAGAAACAGCGACGAAATCTGCCCAGCAAATTGCGCGCGTGATGGGTCGACAACCTAGGCAGAAAATGTTAGATTTGGCCCCTGGGAAAAACTTTTTGCAAACCGCATTAGACGCTGGCCCACCTTGACGGAGAACATCATGCTCAGGGAGCCGAAATAACCGGAAGTTATTGAGAGCAGCGCAGCCAGGGGCAGATATATCCAATAGTTGGATATGCTGAAAATAAGTTGAATTTTGGCAGCAGAAATTTCGAGTGGAAGCCGCTGTGAAGGGTACCTACAGAACAGGAAGGGCACGGGGCACCTCAGAGCCGCCCGGCTGATAGTTGCACGCGAGGATGATGGGGATCAGTAGCATCCGCGCTCCCGTAGCCACCGTGCTGGAAATGCGGTAGTTGTGCAGCATTAATAAATGCAAAATCTTCTTCTCTGAGAAACCCTGTGGGGTGCTTACAAGCTCCGGGGGCTGAAGATGGGCCCAAAAACCCCAGCGAGAATAGAGCCAAGCAGGGCGAGTCCATTAAACATATTGAACGTGAAGACGTTGATGAATTGGCCTTCTGAAAAATAAGAATAAATATCGGATTTAATGATACGAAGTATTACCTGGCGGGAATGATAGCGGATAACCAAAACGGCCTTCCCGATCCGGCGGCGTCAGTTTCACTTCTGACATCACTGAGGGGAAAATGGCCAGCGTGACGAAGAAACCGAGGAACACGTTGATGTACTGGGACCAGCCCTCGCTGCAAACAGTTTGTTGTTGAGGGAAGAAAATGCGGTGAGATACCCGAGCGCTTTGCACCGTTCGCCCGATTGGCTCTTTGAGGGGGCAGCCCGACGTCGTAATTCATTGCCCAACTGCCAGTAGTATTGCCAGAAAACCTGAATCGGGGTCAATGTTAAAATCCAGAGGTTTCGCTGCGCGTACGTTGCTTTTCACGTATCGGATCGAGGTGTAGCAGGTGACGAGCACGGCCAGGGCCACGGTGAAGCAGATAAATGCCTGGATATTGCCGTGCTGGGCGGCAGGAAGAACTGCAACATTTTTTGGGTGACGCTGCAGCAGACACACCAAATTCCACGGCGGCCACGAAGACGGACACGATCAGCCCGCACGAGTTGCTGCCCAGGATCACGGCATTTGTGTATTTGGACGGGAAGTCGCTGGCCATTCCTAAAGATCAAATTCGAGGGATGGCTGCAGATATTCCGACCATATAGCGAATTTTGGTGCACCCCATTGGCGGCATTGAGGGCAGCAGCGAGCGCGAAAATCACGTAGCAATAGGTGTCGGCCCCTAAAAGTGATTGTCTGACGCCGGAAGGGGTAGCGATACAATTTTTGGTGTCCGGCCACACGAGCACATCGATGGCGAGCAGCGGGATTGTGGATGCAATGATCGAGTAGCCCATCCGGGAGGCCATTCCTTGCCTGCAATTTTGCGTCTAGGGTGGTTTATGTGTTTACAAAAGCAAGGCGCCACGAAGCCTACTTGGCCGGACGGAGGATGAAAAAGATGTTCAGCAGCAACCCGGGCACTTGCAGCCACAGCGTCAGATTGTACATGAAGTCTTTGGCTGTAAGGAAGGATTATGGACGTAGACGCTACGCACCCATATCACTCGTTTTCAGCTTGGACAGCACGAAATGCTAAACAATTTTTTTTAAAAAGAAAACAAATACGAACCGGCATCGCCATTAGCAGCAAAAGATGCCAGGGCAGCAGGATGCCGATTCCATTCAGCAGGAAGAATAGCCACACGCGTGCGTTCCTAGAAAATTGGGGCTTTTCATACATTGCAAAATTCTTACTTGTCCTTCGGGGGTTTGGCCGTCAAGTCGAGTGAGGTCATTGATTTCACCGAAGCAGAGGCAGACGTAGAAGCTTCAGATCTTTTTTCCGACCCCGAACTCTTCAGTTCCATCGTTGAGCCGGATTTTGCCGAGCCGCATGTGGTGCTTCTTTTTCGCTTTTCTCTCCTCCTTCTGGCCTAAAGCATTATAAAAGTCACACTGAAAAAGCGCACCTTGCATGGCGCGGGCCGGGGGCGTTTGACCAGAAAAAGCGGGTGATTTCATGCTTTTATTTTTCCACAAACAAATGATGCAAGATTGAAATTGAGTGGTTGTCCTGATTAGAATCTACTATTTGGCGTGTGCATGTTTTTTTCGCCAATTTTTCGAAATCGGGACACTCGCATCGCCCAGCCGGCTGTCACGTGCTATGGTTTGTGAGCTAAACGAGCATTATTTTGGTGTTCGCTGCTTTTCCAACTCTTTTATTCCTTCTCAGCTCAAGAATTTCAGCAGTGTCTATGAGTTCACGGGTTGTTAGTCGAAGACAAGCCAATGGGGACTCGACCCGACTCTCTCGGCGCCCATTGTAAGCTTTGGAAGTAATCATCATATCATCTGAACTTCTTCAGGACGCCCCACACGCCACTGGAGTCGTATGCCGCCGAGCAGACGCAGCAACTCAGCGAGCCGTTGCTCCTGTTGACAGCCACCGGATCCACGGTAGGGGCTCCCCCAGCCGGCACCTTTGTATCTCGCTCCCGTCATCTAGGCGAAAGTATACCAAAATCTTCGTCTTGCTCTGGCGAGTATCTTGGTATACTTTACACACCTGTAGATGAACAGGGCGAACAGGGGGGGGGGTTATCTGGAGTTTAGCCCACGGTAGTTCTGATGTCTTCATTCACTCGAATTGATTTTGAAGCCTGGCTAAATATTTTTTAGCGCAACGCGTCACCGCTCGGAACGCCATCTCGTACGTGTTGCTGATACCTGTCTACCCAATTTTTATTTAGATGTTGAAATTGAGCGCACACAAAAGTCCAGCCGCGTGACCAGCCTGGAGCTTCGAGATCGGGCTGACAAGGTGTGAAATTCCGGTTTTCGAAAAGGTGTTGGAGCTCGTGAAGGTAGTCCGAAGCATCCATCTTGTCACCGGGGAGAAGAGCCGCCGCACCGTTTGCAAGCTGACCGATGAAGAGTGGCAAGCAGGTCAGATTTTATTTGCAACTAGCGGTTTTGAAGAAAGGCGAGAATCCTGATTTTCAGAAAGGGCTGAACGCGAGAAAGGGCGCGCGAAGCGGAAACAGAAAAGCGCCGAGCAAGACGTCGAATTTATCGAAGAGTTCAAGAAATACCTCGACAAGCACAAGTACGAAAGCACCCCCTATTATTGCCGAAAACTTTAGGAGCTCAGGGGTGCGTCTCGTCTGTCACTGCAAACACACGAAGGGTGAAAGAATCAAGGTTAGGCGATCGAGGATCCAATAATCAATGCCCTCTTTCTACAGCGATTTATGCGCAAGACGAAGGATTGTCTGAAGCGCGTGGGACGTGGAACCTGGGTGTTTTGTTGCCCGCCACTGCCAAAATATCAGGTCAACAAGGTGGTTTTTTCAACGAAAACCAAGAAGTTTCCCAGGCTGCCTTCTGGCCCCCGGACTGCTTCTACATTTTCTTTCGGGACTCGCGTCCCCCCGGAAAGTGGAAGCCGTTAGGGTCGGCCGAGGAGATTGTGCACCAGGTTAACAGGTAAGTTAAGAGTGAAAACTAAAACCCTGAAATTTCTTTTAGCACTCATCTCAACAAAATCTACCGCATCGCGCCCGCTCATCCGTGCAGCTCTGAGAAGAAGCACGTCGAGGGTTTCGTTGTCCGGACGCCGCATGACAATGTGAAGGAGATTTGCTATGATCTGGAGAGTTATTTTTAAGTATCTGGGCTGCGTGCTGGCGCGCGAGAACAAGGACCGCCGCGCCGAGTACACCCTGCTGTACGCACATTCGAACGGCGAGGACCTGTACGATCTGCTCTACTCGGTGCCCGACCTGCTCGACATGACAGAGTGGGTGGAAATGGGCAGTATTAAAATATCGGATATAGAAATAGCGAATTTAATGCACCGTTCAGCGTTTCTCACTGTGACGTCGTCTCATTCGACTACAGCGGCTATGGGGTGAGCAGCGGCAGTCCGGATGAGGAGACGCTGTACGAGGACATTTGGGCTGTACGCCAGGTACTTGGTGACGTAACTCTTCTGAGCACTCGCCCACAACAGCACATCATCGACAAGCTGGACACTGCCCCGGATCGCATCGTTCTCCTCGGGTACAGCATCGGCACGGCGGCCGTCATCAACCTGGCCGCTAGCCTGCCCTCCAATCAGCAGCCCGCCGGTGTGAAAATGATGTCGGGCAAACTGATGTCGGTTTTCCGTTTTAGGCGTGATCCTGATGGCGCCGATGTGCACGGTGCTGGGCGCGGCTTGCGGATGTTGTGGCCCTGGGGTGCAGAGGGCTTGTCGCGCCGATCGGTTCAACAATTACAAAAAGGTTGGTGAGCCAATATCACGACTACCTCCTGCCCTGCCCCCGCAGATTGCCTCCATCGAGGCCCCGGTGCTGATCATACATGGGGATAAAGACCCGGTGGTCAGCATACGTCACGGCCAGCGTCTGCACAAGCAAATCAGCGAGAAGGTTGTGAAATGGCTTTTCCTACACCCGAATCTGGCTATAGCAGGGCCGAAAATCGGTGACACCGCTGTGGATCAAGGACGGCAAACACTCACATCTCGACAGCCACTGGGCCCTCTGGGAACGTATCAACACCTTTTTGCAAAAGTAGGGCACTTCCAAAAGGAGCTCATACTCACTTTTTTAGTGAGATTACTCCACCCAACTCGAGACCGCCCGAGATCGAACGCGAGAAGCTCCAATAATCGCCCTATGACTCTAAACGATTAAGATTAATTGCCTTAAGATGTTTTCTTACCGATCGTTTTGTTCGCTATTCGTGATGATGTACGCCAATAAAAGCTCTTCCTTACTGTTCTGCCGAATATCAACCTGGTGCCCAAAACATGTTTATTGGCGAGCCAGCAGAATTGGGGATATCGTTGCCTGATCAGTTCCTCTATTCCGTGTACAACAACTGTTCCAGATACCCTTTATCGCCACGAAAAAACCAAGTAAAAAAGTTACGAGTGCGCGCAATACAGGCGGGACGGTATTTGAAGATGCATTCACAATTTCAAAAAAATTGCATGAGGAGGAGTACAGACAGGGCGCGGGTATCCAAGTATGTTCGCGTCTCAAAAAGACAATACGCAGATATGATGGGTTCGAGTTTGGATGGGTGGGCGCGCGACGTTCAGCTCATGTCGACGGAGACCTTGCTGACGGCGGTCGTCTCGGTTGCAGGTCGCAAAGGCTTGGCCGGCTCGGTGTAGCTGAAATTCAACAAAGTGTCTAGCTCAAGTTCTATAACATAGTGCTATAACATCCAAAACTTACCGAATTTTGTAGTGCAACCCGTCAATCACCTGGGCGCTCAGCGGCAAGTACCAGTAGCCCCAACCAAACACCTAAAACATAAAAATTTCTTGTGAGGGATCGGCCAAACCTGGCGCAGATTTTCACAGGTACCCATGTTGTAGTCAGCCTTTGGGTCACCGCTAAAAGGCGTTAGAAAATCGGGATCCCCAAAACGCACTCAATCTTCGGGATTTTCGCCTGCTCACAGGTCGTCTCATTGAGGATGACGAGACCACGGTGGTAGTTGAACATTTCGCCCAGCGGAGTGTACCTAAATCATGGATATCAGCAAGAAAACGTCGGGCTACATGAAACAGATACAGGCGACGATTGCACTGCAGATCATCAGAAATGGGGGGAGATCCTCTTGCCAACGGGCCCGGATGAAGAAGCGCACAAAACCCTCCAGTGAGGTGCCGACCGTCCTAGAAACGGGTTTTACATAAAAAAATGGTAAATAGGATAAGGGGGAATAAAATAAGGGGAATTATTATGAAATTTGAATTATGAGGGATTTTGCGAGTGTATTCGATAGAGGTCAAAAATATACTAAGAGAATTAATTTAGCCCGAAATAATGTAATAGAAATTTTTTATTGAATAAACAAAATTGAGGAAAATCTATGGGCAGCACATAGGATAAGGGGGAAAGTCAATTTCGAAATTTTCGACATTTTCGGTATTTTGAAAACGTCATTCGATAAAGGTCGAAAAGCCTAGGAAAATTATTTAGCCCGAAATAATGTAATGAAATTTTTTATCGAATAAAAAAATTGATCAAAATCCATGGGAGCACATAGGATAAGGGGGAGCCAAATTTTTGAGATTTTCGATATTTTAAAGGAATGATAGAACATCAAAAATATCCTAAGAGTTTTTTAAACGCGAAAAATGTATTATAAAGTTTTATAGTCTAAAAACTATTTTTGAAAATATGGTAGAATAGGATAAAGGGGGGAAAAATTTTCGGTTTTGAATATTTTCGAAATTTTGAAAATGCCATTCGATAGAGGACCGAAAAATATACTAAGAGTTTTTTTAAGCCCGAAAAGTTATTTAAAAATACTTTTATCATATAAAAGTTTGAGTGTCCCCCGTTATTCCCCGTTATCCTATGTGTACATAAAAAAATGGTACAAATGGTACCAGATCAAGAAAATCTCCGTGTAGATGAGGTAGAGGAGGAAATATTTGTAGTTGTTGTAGTTGACGCAATGATTGATCCAGGGGCAGTGGTGATCAAACTGAATAAAAAGTAGACAGTAAAATCCAAATCGAAGGCGTACTTTGACGACGCAAAATCCGCATGACTGGCAGTGATGGGTCCGGTCAGGCTTCACTAGGCCACACTCGTAGCAGTACCTAAAGCGGCCAACTGCGAAAAACAAGTTGTAGAATACCTGATCCGTTCGGCAAAGTGGTCCCGCTCGAGGCAGTAGATGCTCCTGGAGGCGCAGAACGCGCGAAGCATATCCTTTTGCTGCATGATCTGGAAAGGCTGTAAAATCTAAATGGCAAGTGCCGTACCTGTAGTTGGTTTGACGTGTCGGGTAGGTAGCGCTTTCCATCGTACGGCGTCGCGGCTTTCAAGTTTGCATCGGTGGCCTTGTCCGTCTAAAAAAATCGAAGTTTTGAGACCCTCACAAAAACATACATAATATTGACTCGGCACTTTGCAGACTTCGGTGGTGATCGTCGCAAAGAACGACCACATCGACAAGAAGGCGAGCGCTTCGAACACGCAGATGTACGCGACAGCCTAAAGGTAAAGGTAAGGACCGTTAACGGGGGAGGGCCTTGGTGGGTGGAAATAGCAACTAGCCGCAATTCACAATCCAATTTTTCGCTTTCAGCATTCCCACCTGAATCTTGTTGTCCAACATTCGATAGCAAACGGCCCAACAGTACATCACTTGGCTAAAACGTGAATATTGATGAGAAATCTGACGAAAAATTACATGTAGCCGGCCATGATGAATTGGCAGACGAGCATCACATTCAGCAGTTTTGTCAGCAGCCATCCCTGAAAGAAATTAAAGCCCTTGAAGTCAAAACTGAAGACATACCCTGATTGGCCGTCGCTTTCGGAATTCACGGACCCATACGTAGATCTTCGAGTACCAGGACATTGGCGTGCCGCTCCACCGCCGGCCGGTCCGTCGCGAGAGGGAAATGTCGGCTTCTCATTCCGGAAATTGCTGAAAAAGTATTCCTCATGGAAAGTTGTACCGAAATCCGCGATGTAAATAACCTCAAATTCTAATTCGCAAAAATCACGACGCCTCGGCGCGCTCCAGATTCGTACAGAACGGCCCACGCGGCGCTCCTATGTACTCAAGTTAAAACTTTCAAGCCTTGTAACTTAGTTAAACCCGTTGCATAGAAAAACAAAAAGCGAAGAATTGTAGAGCTAATTTTTCCGGTGAGAATGATATCAACTTAGCGCCCAAACGCCCAACCAACCAGCAACAATTTCCGCTTCTAATATTCGAGGAATTTTTACTTGTCTTTTTAGAAGAATAAGTAAGAACAATGTAAAATCATTTATAAATTTTCCTGCCCTCCCCGCAAAATAGAATAAAATAAATAGTTTATACCGATCAAGGATTCTGGAGTGTTTTGTCATTTGCTGTTCTTGCGTTCGTTGGAAATGCGTTTTAATCAAACTTCACAGTTTCGTTGTAAATTCATATTTTTATCTTCCCTATGGGCGATATAATCAGAAAATCAAAAGCAAGGTCATGGCAAAGAGTTGGCTTGAGATCGAGAAGTGAGCGGCCGGGGTCAATTTTTTCGGGGTTTGTTTTTCGACAAAAAGTGGATCCCCGGCCGCTCTGGATGGCACTAGGTGGGCGATGGCGACACGGCAGGTGACTAGTTTCATATTTCAAAGCGGACCAGAATATGGGCAATTCATGTATGTGGAATCGGTGAGCGCGGGTTTCAGGGGTTTCACGTCGGACGTTGGCGTGGGGTTGTGTTGTTGTTGTTGTTGTTGTAGGTTGGTGAACGTCGTGGCCGAGGCGGACGATGGGACGACGGGCATTGAAGAGGGGGACGGGAACTAAAATCGGGGTTAGAAAATATGATTGTTGAAGTCTGTTGGATAGTCTAATTTTTTCTCTAGTGCCAGGTTGGCCTAGAACGGGAATATAAAACGTTTTTATGTTGTTTTTAGTGACTTTTCACTGTAGCTGAAGTAGAAAACTTTAAACAAGTTTGAAAAGTGCCTGAATAGGTGGAAGCTTTTGCTAGCTGGGCCGAAAAATGTAGTTTTTTGCCGAACCGCCCTGCCGGAAACTGAATTTTTCTAGGTTTTCTGCATGGTCTATCACTTGAAATATGATTAAATTTTTTAGACAATATAAAAAGGCTTGATTGCCTTACTAAGTATATCTTGGGTTAAAGGGCACGTTCGGGGACGTTTTTTTGGAAAAGGTTTGTGCCGCGGCGGGGGTCGAACCCGGCCCCCGCTGGAAGGGGGTGATACCAGTCAGCACAGCTACAACCTGGGGGGGGTGAGGGGCGCCCACGCCGCGGAGGGGTGGCCTGTGACAGCACGGGGGCGTGCGCGCTCTCCCTACGTCCATAGGGGTACGTTGGGCCGGTCGGCCCCGCCTGCGTGCGTTTAAGGAAAAATTTAGTTTAGTTTTTGGAGTGTTTACTGCCCCTAACAGGCCAAAAACCCAAATTTAAAGCCCTCGAACCCCCGAATTTTCGCCAAACTTCCGGCGGCCACCACCGCCAGGAATCTTCGCCAGAAACCCACCCCCATGGTGCCATTGTTTGTAAGGGTATGGGCGACAGATGCCTCTAGATGCCCCCAGTTGGCCGGTCACCTCGAAATTGGACACCCCCACCATATAAGGGCCATGGTCCTTCCCCGGCAAGACTCCGTTCCCAAATTTGATTTAAATGCCGACACCGACGTTGGATGGCAAATGGGCCGCCGAGGCGCTAATTATTTTCCGCGCACCGTGATGGTGATGGGATGCGCGGTGGGAAATAGGCTAAATGGGGTCGGGCAGGGAAAACGGGCTGTTACTAAGGAATTAGACTATTTATCGCATTGTTTTTGGTGATTGTGGTGATTTATAACCAAGGATACTTGTTAGATACGAGGTTGACTTTTTTCGCGCTAGCTTTGACGAAGGAAAAAGCTAAAAAGAAAAAGGTTCGCCCCGGAATAACGGGCTTTTACTAAAAAGGAGTTTAAAAATTAAGCGCTTTTTGCCTGAGTTACTTTACTTAAAAAACTCTTTAGCCTATTTGGTTTATTTTATATTTATATTTATATTTCTTAATTTTTATTAAAATAACCATTATCGACGTGAGAATAGAAACCAATTTTGTAGCGAGCGCAGAAAGAAGAGATGTGCAATGGAACGTAGCGTACACTTGCGCTTACTTGATAAAGTTTAGCGTTCCCTTTTTAGGTTTTCAAGCTTAGAATAGTTGCCCTAACCGCAAAAAAGTACACGAGAATCCTTAAAGAGATGAGGAGGATGTGAACCCTTGGGGAGGGGGGTTAAAGGTCCGGGGACTGGGAGAGGGCCCAGGAGAGGGAGGAAATTTCTTTCCCTGGAATGAGACTTATGCCGCCCCTATCTCTTTAAGCCCAAAAATTTACGGCGTTTTTAGCAATAAAATGTTCGGTGTAATGAATTAATAATTTTACGTAAATGGACAGATTTTCATCCCCCCGATAAGCAACTTTTACCATTAACCTAGGTTTCCATCCCCTACCCCATGCACCCATTTACGGCATTGTTTGGGCAAATTGGCCGCGGGGGGATGGGAAATGGGATGTGATTTGTGACATATCGGCCGGCCATAAAGGAGGGAAAGGTGGTAGAAAGATGAGCATATGGTGCCCATCTCTCTCTCTCTCTCTCTCTCTCTCTCTCTCTCTCTCTCCTTCCAGCCGACTGCCCACATCTCCATGCCCAAATCTTGCGCAACGCGGCGCCCCTTATGTGGGCCTCGCGCACACCGTATGGACAACGCGCAAATTATGCAAATTTTTTGGGGTGGCAGTCGCCCCGTTTTGGGTGGCGCGAGATCCCGCGCTTGATAGTGATGGGTTTATTGGGCTTTGATGTTGGGGCAGGCTAGCACAGATTCTTAAGGAAAGGGTAGGCTAGCAGAGATTCTTAGGGAAAGGGTAGGCTAGCAGAGATTCTTAGGGAAAGGGGAGCCTAGCAGAGATTCTTAGGGGAAGACAGCCTAGCAGAGATTCTTAGGGAAAGGCAGCTTACAAGGGAACCACAAGTTGTCACGGTGGAATTTCGAAAAACGCTCGCGGCTACCCCTAGGTTTTCGACTATGGCGATTCCAACGCGCTAGTCAGAATTAGCTAAATCGACCTGTGGACAGAGATACAGCACTTCCGGAAAATGGTCAATTTACATTCGGAGGAATTAGCATTCACCTCAGGGTTTATGAGGGCTTCCCGTCTCAGAAGAATCACCGGTTGAATGACCGGGTGGTAAGCGGCCAGCTTGTTAGAATACTGACCACGGTTCGAATCCGTTCACGACTTTTTTGTTTTGCTTTTGGACGGAACCTTGAGCAAAACTACAAGCTTCTTAAAAGCTACTCGTTCGTTTGAAAGGGGCTGTCGCATGAAAGATACAATTTCAAACGTTTTTGCAGGAATCGGCGTCATCAGAAACGAATAAAAGCTTTACTATGTGAAAAAAATTCGAAACTTCCGTCCAAAAAGCAAAATAAAAAAGTCGTGAACGGATTCGAACCGTGGTCAGTATTCTAACAAGCTAGCCGCTTACCACCCGGTCATTCAACCGGTGATTCTTCTGAGATGGGAAGCCCTCATAAACCCTGAAGTGAATGCTAATTCCTCCGAATGTAAATTGACCATTTTCCGGAAGTGCTGTATCTCTGTCCACAGGTCGATTTAGCTAATTCTGACTAGCGCGTTGGAATCGCCATAGTCGAAAACCTAGGGGTAGCCGCAAGCGTTTTTCGAAATTCCACCGTGCCAACTTGTGGTTCCCTTGTTAGCAGAGCTTCCTGGGGAAGGGGCAGGCTAGCAGATATTTTTAGGGAAATGGCAAACTGGCAAGGGCCATTAGGGATTTTCCGAAACATTCCGACCCACTCCACCCCATAGAAAGGCAGTACTCACTTGGCCCTTGACCGTCCAATTGAATGTGGCAGCTGTTGGGGCACGGGTCTGGTATGTGTGCCAGCCTGTTGGGTCACCGTAACCGTAGAACGAGTCGATCTGAAACAACCGATTAAGATACGTATTGAGATACGAAAATTCTTTTTTTTTGTATAGCTTGGTTGTATAGAGAGGCTGACCTGGTTGTGCGGGATGAGGGTTTGGGTGAAGCTGCCTTGCACCTGCAAATTCTAAATTTTTGGGTTTAACGGTACTTTTCGGCATTTTGAAACGGCCGTTCCTACGCCTTGCGTCAACTTTGCTTAGGCTTAGGCGTAGAATCGGGCTTAGCAGCTAGGCGTAAGCTTAGGCGTAGGCTTAGACCTGGCTTAGGCTTAGGTCAATGCTTAGGCTTCGGCGTATCCTCAACTTACTTGTATCGTGCCAAGCCCGCCAAGCCCGGAGTGAAGTCCGCCAAGCGTCGACATTGACGGAATGGATGGGGGCAGGCTCAGCGAGGCGCCCATCGACCCTCCTGGTGCGGTTGTCGACTGAAACTTCGATTTTGGCTCAGCTTGGCGTAGGTATCTGCCTAGACTTTGTTAGCTTAAGCTTTGGCTTAGTATTTAGGCTTATCTAGGCTTCAGAAGCTTAGGTTTGGCGTTACGCTTTATTAATTTTGAGAACTCGCCGCAAGCATACGCGCACGTTTTTGTTTGAGCTACGACTTAAGGTTGCTTCGGCTTTCGTATCTGTATAAACTTAGGCTTAGCTTGGACTTAAGTTAAGCTTAGACGAAGCTCGAGATTATTCACCTGCATCCCCTTCACGTCCGTGACATAGTTGCGTTCCCGTTTGCGCCATTTTGCTCGTCGATTTTTGAACCATACCTAAATCGGGAGCTTGGCTTAGGGTTCGGCTTAGGCTTAGGCTTCGGCCTAGCCTTATCGAATTCTGCTCGTGCTACCGTACCCTAACTCTTGGCTCGGTGAGGCTGATCCAGATGGCAATCTCTTCTCGCGTGGCCATATCCGGGTATCGATTCCGTTGGAACCAGCTCTCCAGCTCGTTCAGCTAAACAAAAAGCGTATTGATTTGATGGATGAATGGTACTTGATGGCTTGTAAAATGGGTTCGTTGTCGTCTCGGCTTGTTTCCTTTGATCGGTGGGGCCTCTGTCTCGGCATGGGTATCTCCTTCTTCCTCGGTTTCCTCTTTACACGATGCCAATTCCACTGGAAAGCAGGGTTTTTCTTAATTTGGTGCTTTTGCATTATCGGGGGGGGGGCCCATTATCGGGACAACTTTTTCCTTGGAATTTAATTTTTTTTAATGAATTGAGGAAACGTTTCTAAACCGTTTTTACTATTATTAAGCGTAAAGACTTTACGAATTAAAAATACGAATTTTCGAACCAAGAATTGCCGATTCTAAAATGTCCAAATTTACCAAAATTTCCAAAATTTTCAATGTTTTGAAAATTTTTTGATAGTTTTTCCAAATAACATACGGTAAACCAAATTTTGCTAAAAACGGATTGAAATATTGATTATTATGTTGCTGGGCATCTTTGCTTGTCCCGCCCCCCCGATAATGCCAAAGAACCGTTAATTTTTAAAGGTTTTGGGAAGCGAAGTTTTGCAGTTTCTGGTTTCGAAGTATAAACAAACATTTGGGGAGCTTGGTGGAGGGCAACGGAATCGGGTCGTGTAGTGAGACATGGCTGGGGTAGAAGGCCTGGTGTAGCTGATCAAACGGTGACTGCAGGGGGGCCAACGAGGAGCAAGTGTCCTGGAAAAAGATTTGAAGCCCGTAAAGATAAGTTTAACAGACGCAAAAATAGTCGAAAAATCGATTTTCCTCACCTGCAATGGCTGGAGTAGATGAGCGGTGGCCGAGTGCGCGTCGGCCAGGTGGCCCAGACCGGTGGGAACTGAAAATAGGCCATTTTGAGGGGGGATTCAAGTCAAATTCACAGGATCTTTAGTTGCGGAGACGATTCCTGCTCGGAATAGCATTCGGAAATTCGGAACTTTTGCAAAGATCGGTGCTGGCCTATTTTTTCCTAAAGAATCGTTGCTGGCTGCCCGTCTGCTAATCAGCAACTATTAGATTTCCTTTTTCTAAATTTCCGTGACCGTCTAGCTTGCTTAAAGAATCTCTGCTAGGCTGCCTTTCCTAACGAAACTTTGCTAGCCTGCCTTTCCACACGAACTTCGATAGCTTGTTTATTTCTCCTAGTCGAAAGTTAGAATTCTGCTAATCTCGTTTCCCAAATAATCTCTGCTAGCCTACCTTGCCAAAACCTACCAGCTAAAGAAAAGAATATGGACGTACGAAAACGTAAGTTACGTTGCGATCGCAAGTAAAAAGGACGGGAGTAAACTAAAAAATATGAAATTTTCCCCAAGGATCTCTGCTAGTCTGCCATGCCAAAAGAGTCTGGATAAGTAAAAAAATATAAATTGCAAGAGACAGTACGCTGCGTGGAAATCCCAAGACAAAGAGGGACGGAGTAAGACTCATAAATGCCTTTTCCTAAGACCTTCCGAAGACTTCCTTCCTGCTAGTCCACCTTTTCCCCAAAGAATCACTGCTAGCCTGCCTTCCCCCAGAAAATAACAGATAAATAAAGGCACAAATTATACAAAATCTAATTAGAAAAGAAGAGTCAAACTAAAAAATAAAAGCCTCCCCATCCAGGACCCACCACAAAATGCCAGATCATGAGATCTGGAGTGGTCCATCTGGGACCGGGTGTGTCGAGTCTATTTTGTGGTCGTCTTCCGGCTGCCGCTCCCGTTGAAGGTGGATTTAGTTGAGCCCCAGGGCTTGTGGATTACTGGAAAGGGCCAGCCGCCAGAAGACCCCGGCCAAGCCCGGCGACTACCGTACCCCTTGGCCCCGCCCACTGGCCCTGCCGCGGGCCAACCCCTGAGGGTGGGCCGCTCGATCATTCCGGGAGGCTCCTCTGGACACGGCTTACTTGGGGCACAAACGAGGGGATTAGGAAGGGAAGGAGGGAGGGAAGGAGTCATTTCCCATCTAAAGGGGGACATCTTTCCCCTTCAAAAGGCACAACAATCCATCAATGGCCCCAACCATCAAATGAGGCCATTTAGGGGGAGGGATACGGTAGGGGGAGGGTGGGGTGAAAACAGTGCCAATGTCTAGTAGCGTGGTTTTATGTAAGCAATAAATATAGTTAGTACAACCGGATTTAGTTGTAGTGATTTAAGGATTTATTGGCTTTTCTTTTTTGTTACTTTTAGATAAAATCGATTCGGCGCTGGCAGATTTCCGAAAATGCAATTTATTCCCTGTCTAGAATTTTTCGTCATTTCCGCCCTCCGGTTTCTTCTTCCCGTTTGCGAGGAAATGGTTGGCCTGAAAAGCAGCTTTTTGAACTTTGTAGCTTGACAATACCGGATGCCCTCGTTCCACATCCCTCCCGGTTTCCTCGGCTTCATCTGGAACTTATTCGTTTTTCCGGACAGAATCAATCACCGAAGCTGAGCCTAAGCCTAAGCATAAGCTTAAGCTAAACCTATGCCGTGTCAAAGCTAAGCCGAAGCCTACGTCTAGACCTGACCTAAGCCTAAGGCTAAACAACAAACCGATCAAGTTCAGCTGAATCGTTGGCAAAAACGGGGTTGGATGGCCGTTTTTTGGGGTTCCGGGTATCGGGGTCATTGTTGACAGCGAGTCGGAAGCGCTGAAAATGGAACATTTGTATTTGACGGCCGTCCGCAAGCAAGTTTGTAAGAAATCGCGTGGCTACCTTCCAATTCGACTGCGCGAGAATTTCTTCTGGGCCATCGCTGATTTGGGCGGAGCGACAAATCTGAAAAATACACAAATTCCTGGTTTTTAGTCCGTAGTGCACAGTTTACCTTGTAGGTTTTCGACAAGCCGGCGTCTCTTCCAAAACCCCTTCCAGTGGGACCATGTTGAATTGCGTGGATTTCCGGCGTGCCATCGGCGATTTGGAGTCGCTAAAATGGGGCAGGCTGGCGGATTTCGCACCATTAGTCATAAAACCATTAGTCATAAACCCATTAGTCATAAACCCATTAGTCATAAATTCCATTAGTCAAAACCCATAGTATAAATTCCATTAGTAAACCCATTAGTATAAATTATATATAAACCCATTAGTATAATTCCATAGTCTAAACTCATTAGTCATAAATTTATTAGTCAAAATTCAATAGTCAAAATTCCAATATAATTAGAAACTGATTGTTAAAGTTATTCTCGAATAATCCTGAAAAAAAGAGGAGAGAGAGAAAAAAAAAAAAAAAAAAAAAAAAAAGGGAAAGGGGAAGGGGAGGGAAGGGGGGAGAGGGCCAGGCTGGCGGAGATTCTTTGAGGATGGGAGTAAGAAGTAAGGCAATTTACTCCATTCCGACAGCCGATCCATAGAGGGCATTGACAGGACGGGAATATTGACTGTAGAGGAGGGGCTGGGCCGAATCCCAATGGGGATCTTTTTCTAGAGGGGCCAAGTGAGAACATCCACGATCCGCTATGGCGAGACCGATCTGGAAGGGTCAATTTAGCTCATCCTTTATCTGTGTCTCTCATTCTCATTCTCTATCTATCTCTCTCTCTCTCTCTCTCTAAATACAAAAAAAAATCCAAAAACTCTGAACTCCGTCCGTTCTAGCGTTCGCATTCCCCTAGCTCCATCTCTCGCTCTCTCTCTGTCCCGCTCTCGTCTCTCTCCTCTCTCTCTCTCTCTCACTCTCTCTCGCCTCAATCTCGCTCCATCTCTCTCACTCTCTCTCTATCGCTCTCTCAACCTCGCTCCATCTCTCGCTCTCTCTCGCTCTCTCTCGCTCTCTCTCTCTCTCTCTCTCTCTCTCTCTCTCCCTCTCACCTTCAAATTCCTATCCAACAAAAAGTTAGTCTCAAAATCGTCATCATCCTCTCCCATTGGATTGAGCAGAGCCTCAGCCACCCTCAGCCATCCGACATAAAAGATAAATTGCAACACAGAGAACGTGCACTTCGAGATGTTCTCCTGAAATTTCGATACCTAAATCCTCCACCCAAAAGTACCTCTAAAATGCCCCTTTCCCATTGTTGATAGTCGAGAAAAGATATCTGACGGGAGACGAGGCATAAATAGAAATAGGAATGGACGGCGAGGCTGACCAACTGGGGATACATTAATGGGAGGGGCACCCAGTCGTAGTGGACGATTTGGGCCAATTGACTGCGCCACTCCATTAGTACCTGAAATGTGGGGGTGATCGTTGAGAGTAGGGTGTCGACGTTAAAATCCTATGAACTGCTTGAAGACATAGGTACTGTAGGTAAAGAGGTCTGAACTGTTCATTAAAATTAGAGACCTCGATAACCTGACCTCACCAAAATTTCGCAAATTAAAATTTAGAACACGTTCCCAAGATTCAGACGGGATTTTTGAGTTTTTAGAGGCGATGAAGAATTCGCTGAGATCTCTCTCTTTCTCTCTCTCTCTCTCTCTCTCTCTCTCTCTCTCTCTCTCTCTCTCTCGCCCCCTCTCTTCTCTCCCCTCCCTCCCTCTCCCTCTCTCGCTCTCTCGCTCTCTCCCTCTGTCTCTCTCTCTCCCTCTCGCTCTCCCTCGTTCTCTATCTCTGCCAGGTCGAACGGGTCCAACAGGTTCAGATTAACCTCATCTAGCCCTTCTCAAAGGCACGGGCAAGACATAAGGAATGTATTTCGGTAAGGCTCTAGAGTCTACGTCATCTTCAAGCAGTTCAGGAAATCCGTAAACATCCAGTATCCACCTCCTCCTCCTCACCTGCCACATATGATTGTATTGGATATCCGACTGGATGAGCCCCTCTTTCTTGGCCATATGGATGGCATTTTGTGCCCAGACGATCGGCATCCAATACTTGGCCATTGTGTATGTGCTGTCGTAGTTGAGATACGTCTCCATTTCGTCGGCGGAGAAGAAGTCTGAAAATCGACGTTTAGTTGATGTGGGAATTCTCGCTCACTAGCCGTGACTGTCGACTCGATCGTCGGAAATCGTTTGCGCACCTGTGTGCTGACGTCGCTGCAAACATGGAATTTTGGTTCTGGTTCATTAGCGGGGGGAGGAGTCTGGATGAACCAACCGGAATACGAGAAGCTGCATCTGGACGGCATAACGGACAATGTTCCTTCGCAACATGCGTGCTCGTTCTGAGGTTCCGTGGATGTGGAAGGCGGCTGTAAGGGCCAAGCTGAAATGGGGTCAGGCTTAGGCTTAGTATTAGGCTTAGGCTGAGACTTAGGCTTCGGCTTAGGCTTAGGCTTCTCTTAAGCTTACTTAGGCTTAGGCTTGAATTAACCTTAGGCTGGGGCTTATGCTAAAGATTATTCTTGGCTGAGGCTTAGCGGAAGCTTGTTAGGTTTCTGCCGATGCTTGAGCGTATCGTTTCGGATTAAATCACCTACAAAATCCATAGTCGTCTGGCCAGCTGAATTTATACCTATTTTTTAAACCTCACTCACTTGTCAATAAGGCCAATATTGTTCAACATGTGCGTCCACCGGGCGACGACGGCCGTCACGAAGAAGGACAGGATGAAGCTGAGCGGGATCATGTCCATCTTTTGGTTCAGCTGGGTGGAGAGCCGAGCAGCGGTTCTGAAAACAAATATAAAATAAGCAAAATAAGAAAAAAATAAGGTTATGAAGAGGATACCTCTGCGCCTCGGTGCCCAGCTGGAAATTGTAGATGTAGGCGACCAAGGCGAAACACAATAACCAGAGTGATAGTTCGGAGAGGAGCGCTTTCCAGATTGAGCCGCGCCATCTGGAAATTTCAAGAACTTTGGGCCTAGGCTTAGATTCAGGCGTAAGAATAGGCTTAGGCTTAGGTTTAAATTGGCGTAGTTTTGGCCGACTTTTGTCCGGATAAAATTTCTGAGGTGGAGTTTAGGCTTAGGCTTCGGTTTTCGGTTAAGCTTGGCTTTACTTATTGTGTTGTGGCTTGGCATAGGCTTGGGTTAGGCTTTGCTTAGCCTTCGCTTAAGCCTGGCTTAGGCCTGGGCTTAGGCTTAGGCTTGGGCTTGTTCAGATTCAGTAGTATCTTGGAAATAAAACACTGCGTGAAAACTTACTATTCCGCGGGAAAGAGAGATAGGAGTGAAAGAGAGACAAGGAATACGACGAGAGAGAGAGCGAGAGTGAGAGGGAGCGTGAGAAAGAGAGATCAAGATAGCGAAAGATCGCCTCACCTGAGCAACAGTCGTATCCGGCTGATTGGCGATGAGTCGGAGATCAACAGGTGATAATTGACAGTCATTTATCTCGAAGAAACACTTTAAAAAGTAGAGAGAGAATTATCTATTACAGAAGTTCCGACCGTCCCGCCCACCCCCAAAAAATGATTTTCACGCGGCTGAACACGGAAGCTCCTAGCAGAGTTCGGGAGAAATGATGGACAACCCACCAAAACGGGGAAAGATCGCCCAGAAAAGCGAAAAATGATGATCTTTATCGAAGGCCACGCACTTCACTTCACTTGTCAATTTATTCCCAGGGTTGGGGAAGTCGTTTCCCATGCCTCCCCACTCACCATCACCCGACAATGGGTTTTGTAGAAAAATCTATAAAATATTGGGAAATTTGGCGACTACCCGATAATGGAACAATTCACGTTATAACAGACATTTTTGGCTCCCCAAAATCACTCAAAGTTGAACAATCCGATGAGAACTAAATATGAAAAGCCTAAAAACCTCAAATCTTTAAACTTAAAACTTAAAGTTAGATTTAATTAGTAACGGTTAGTATCCCTTTCTCTCTATCTCGCGCGCGCCCTCTCTCTCTCATTCTCTTCTCCCTCTCTTGGCTCTCCACCTCTCTCTCTCTTTCGGTCTCTCTCTCTCCCCTCTCTCTCGCTCTCGGACCTTTTCTCTCTAGTTCTCTCTCACAGTCGTCTATCGCTCTCTTTGCTCCTTCGCTCTCTCTCTCTCTCTCGCTCTCTCTCGTTCTCTCTCTCTTGATAGCCTTGAATGCAGATATTTTTCAGCTATACGTAGCCCTATACAGTGTCTCTGTACTGTGCTCTCCATCAGGGGCAAATTTACGGCCTTCGCCCCGGATATTGGACTGCTGCGTAGTCGCTTGCTTGGCTGCAAAGGGTCGTGATAGCCGACCAGAAAACTTGTGACACACACGGCTTCACGTTGTAGCCAATTTATTCCGACGGTTTGTACATGGAGATTTGGGATCGGGCGAGAGGGGGAAAGAGCGAAGAGAGAGAGAGAGAGAGAGAGAGAGATAGAGAGAGACAGCAAGAGATAACCTGACAATGACAAAGTATTATGCGTAATGTACAGAGGATCGTTGTGGGTTTTTTGGCGTCGCCTAGAGCTCGTCGTGTTTTTTGGATGGGCGAAACTGAAAATGAAATGTAAAATGCAAAGTTATCAAAAATGCCCTACCAATCCAATTTTATAAGTGGGCAACCCGGTACGGTAGTAGGGGCAATCTTCGAAGATGTCCGGGACAAAGCAATAGCCGACGGATTGGCAGAACTTGGACGAGGACGTTTCCAGAGGATCAAGCTGCAAATAGTGGAAATGCCGAAGTCTCAGCCTAAGCCAAGCCAAAGCCTAAGCCCAAGCCAAGCCTAAACCCAAGCCTACGCCTAAGCGTTTCAGACAAACCTCCCAACACCAACCTCACTCTTCAGCTGATCGCTCACTTTCCGCAGGTGCTCAAGGGCTCGAAGACAACTCTTTTTGAAAAGCCCGGCCCTTGGGCAGAGATCATTTAGCAGATAGGAATGAGCAAATTCCTGAATATATAAATACATTAATGGAATTTTTGACTTTCCCTTACCCGCCCCTTTAACAAGATCATCGAAGAATATTTGATACATAGGGCACAATAGAATGAAATGGCCGGCGACGGGTTCGGGTTGTCAAACGGAGGTGTGGAAGAAGACGAGGGAGATGCTGAAATTGGAGGCTTTTTTCGTGAAATACT